TTTTTTATTAACTCATTTAAACAACAAAATATTTTTTGAAAGTTAATCTCTGTTAATCTAAACTAAGGATGATAAATCTACCTATAACCAACGGATTCTGACCCGATGCCATCTCCAAGCTCAATTCCATTTCATCGAACATCCAAAAACCAAAATTTAGTTCCCAAACCCTTTCAAATAGTTAATCTGTCACCTAAACTACATATCACAAGGCCCAAACTAAAAACATGAAAGATGAGGATTCAATGTGCCGAAAAAGAAAAAGGATTCCGGCTTTAAGGGAAATTGGTCTTCTTATTTTGGTCCATTGAGCTAATCAGGCCTGGATCTAAGCTAACAAGTTGATCCAAAAAATTATAAATAATTTTCTTCTATATAATTTAACTTATAAATTATATTACTTTTAACAACTTGATATTTATAAAAAATTTATTTTTATCTAATATTTTATATCATTGATTAATACTTTTATCAAAATATTAACATGATAAATATTGACTAATAAAATATAACACATGTCGTGATATTATTAGTTATTTTTTTAATATATTAATAGAATGTGTGTGTGATAAAATATTTAATGAAAAAAATTTAGAAATTTAATTATAAATTGTTTTATAAATATCAAATACTAAAAATATAATTTATCATCTAATTCTTTTACAGAAATTCTTCATCTAAATCACAAATTAATTTTTTATACTTTATATATATAAAAGCGTGTTGCAGTACTAAGCTATCAAGAAAAAAAGAAAAAAATAAAAGCTACTTTTGCAGTGGATTTCTAAGAAGGTGTCGAGTCTTTTCCAAAGCGACACGACATTGACCCGTGTCTCAACTTTTTTGGTTTTTTTTTTTAATTGATTTTATTATTATGTTTTTTATTTATCTTTTACTCTCCTTTTTTGGTGGCAGTATTTGTACAAGTGGAGACAGAAAATGCTATGAAACAGAAACAGCTGCCTTTTTTTTTTCCGTGTATCGTGTTCTACAAGCTGATTAGCTTTTCAGTCATCCTTCATATGATTTTGTTTCCCCTTTTTATAAAGAGTACTGTTTTGATTGTTGATATATTGTTAGTATTTTTACTATTCATTTTTTTATTTTAGATATAAAATGTTGAAAAAAAATGTGTTTAGTTTTAATAAAGTGAAATTTTAATTTTGAATAATTAAAATTTTTATTTAAAATTTTGAAGAATGCACCATAAATATTTAGTTCTATATTCTTATAAAGTAATTATATATAAAAAAAATTAATTCATATGAAGTTTTTAGTCAATTATGATTTGTTATTATTTGTTGCAACTTTTGAATAAGGATATTGGGATTTATAAGAAAAGAGAAGAGATATTATTTCCAAAATCTATGAATTCCTAATTAATTAAACTTTTTTTTTTCAAGTATTAATAAAAAGATAACTTTTCTTTGGAATTTAAGATTTTTTTCCATGTCTGTCTCTATCCCAAATCTCAATAGTCTTTTCTTTATCAAAATTTTCTTATTATCATTGTGATTAGAATTTGAATTCGAAAACTTCGATTTTAAAGTCAAGCTTCAGTGTCATTGAATTCATTGATTTTTACCATATAAATTAACCACGTTACAGCCACAAATATTAAACTCAGTTGTCGTCCTCGTTAATATCATCAAACACTTGAAATCTATTACGTCTTGATTAACATGATGACCTTCATCTATTATTGCAATTGTTTTCCTTGTCCTCTTTTATCTTAATTTTTATAACTTTCTCTCCTTTTCATTCCTTTGTCCCTTTGAGGTTGAAAATTTAAGAAAATCCAATGCCTTGAAAGCCAATCCCAAAACATTGTTTATGGTCTTAAAATTTCACATGGAAGGTTTCTGATCAGTTCAAAACCGATATAGAGGATGATGTTTAATTTGCTTCCATTGTTTGGTCATTTCTGTGTGTAGTTAAAGCAGAAATTATCAATTTTGTCACAGGTTTCATTGATGGAAAGTAGGAAGAAATTGGCAACATCTTTTTCATTTGGATTTGTTGATCATATTATTATTATAATAATATTAATTAATTATTTTGGATTAAGAACGACAGTAAAGAGTAATAATGAAGGATTAAAAATGAAAGATTTTAGCCAACTTTAGACAAGGGTAAAATGCTAAAAAGAAAGGCATGCAATATTCTTCATACTGTCATGATCGTGGCTAGCTCATGTGATATATATGAGCATCGTCTTCGGTTCCAGGAGGAACCTCCAATTATTGGAATCCGATGTTTAAATTATATCATTAATACCTGTAAATTAATGTTATTCCCTTTTCATTTTTATGAAACTATGTTTGGTCAGTTTATACTTTAATTTTGTGCCAAATATCTTTTAATTCAGATATTTAATATATTGATAAGGATATTTGAGGGTTTAGGGGAGTTTTAAGTATTGCATATTTTGGGAAGAGAAAAAGGAAGAGAAAAAAAGAGTGTTTAATGTAACCTTTTTATTTTTTTTTATAAAAAAAATCAACAATTAAAACCTAAGAAAAGTAAAAAATTATCATTGTAAATGATCGAATTCTAATTTTATGAAAATATATATGTTAAAAGAGATAAATGAATATTTTGATTGAATTTCAAGTTCAATCTAAGATTTTTTTTTTTTTTTTGAAAAGAGGTTCAATTCAAGATTTTCATGATCACGAAAAAGAGATGCCAAACTAATTAAATAATGCAATATCGAAACAAAAAGCAGACTTATAATTATCGATATGACTTAAGAGTCTCATTGCATTTGTATTTACTCAAAATGATTGTACTTTGGTAAGGGTTAGGTGCTTTTTGGCTTTTGTTTCTCTTTCTAGTTGAATCTGTCTCGTCCATCACATGTGCAAATATGACCACAATTTTTTTGTGACAAGTGGGGATCAATGGAACTCTGGATAACATATATATATCCACCAAATAATTATTAATTTTGTACACCAATTAATAATACAAATAATAATGTCTTCTTACATTCATGTGAGTTTTATATGTTTTACATGTGAAGTTCACGTGAGAATGTAAGAAAATCAAACCAATCATTTTTAATATTCTTAAAACTATTGTGGGATATTATTTGTGAAGGTCTTCAATGGTTTTTCTAATTTCCAATATTAAAGGTATTAATTAATAGGATTAATAGAGACAGTATATTTATTTTTTATTTTATTAACTCTTTACAAAAATACATGAAGGACACCTTTCTCTTACATTAGGACATATCCTAATCGATTAGCGTTATACCTTTTCAAATAATATAGTAGTACACTTACTTTGAAAGGTAAAACTTAGAAGTAGAAGAATATTGTTTAACTACTGTAATTTTTTATTTATCCTAAACTTTATAAAATGCTTTTAGATTTAAGTTATAAGAAAAATATAAAAATTGGGTTCTTTTTACCACTTACAAAATTATTTATTTACAATAAGGTTATTCTCATAGCCTATATATAATTATTTTATACATGTGAAAATTTAAGGAAAAAGAGAATTTGAACTTTTGCTAGGATTAAAAATATTACTTTTGTCCATAATTTTAGAGAAGTTAATCATTTCGCGGATTCTCTTACTAAGATGAAAGTGCATTGAACATGCAATTTTATAGCCTGGCTGTAATAGCCTTTTATTATGAATAAAATAATTTATTTTACCTAAAAAAAAAAAAAGGAGAGAGAATTCAAAGTTTAAGTTTGGAAAGATGAAAACAATTTAAGTTAAGTTTGGGTTGTTATATTCTATAATTATAAATAACACTGAAAAAAGAAGAAAAACTCATGCCTTAATTATATTATTCAAAGTGCCTAATACATTAAACTCCTTTTAAAGTTCTTTGCCTGTTAGATTCTCCAATAAAAATCATGTCATGTATTAAAATTATTTACTCAAAATTTAGGGATGGATTGAAGATAGAAAATTATATTAAGTGTAGCCAGTTATACTTTTAACATCGTATGTGATTTTATTAGCTAGGAAATGCTATAGCGAATTTCAAATAAATTAACTTCAATATAAGTTGTATCCTTGTACATTTGTTAATCGGTTTTTGCTTTGACGTATCAATTTTTTTTTGTGCTTGCGTCCATAATTGCAAAATTTTACATTTCGTTATATTTGGGTAGATATTTTAATAATAAAAAAGAAAAGTAAAACACAATAAATAAGAAAAGAATTTCATGTAAACTTAATAATCTGTTTTTGAAGCATCATAACCGGAGTTTAAACTCTACATTGGATTTGCATGCATGCAACCTTGTTTAAGTGATCTCATTTTCTATAACAAATTATGAATACTAATAATAATATGATGATTTTTGTATATATCATTATTTTAGTGTATTTTCAACTATAAAAGTTACTTTTTAACTAATGAATTTTTGGTTAAAACGCAAATAACAAGGAGTGAATTTTGTTTATATTTTGCATATTAATGATTTTGTATTTTGATTATAGCCGGTGTATGAAGCTATCTAAATATTATAAGAAATTTAATTAGGAGATTCACTGCATTGCCAATGGAGTATAAAATTTCACAAGCAAATTTGCACTTTTTGTTTATAACTGTCCATATAATTATATATAAAATATTAATTTTAATCTAGAAGTTAAAATATATATTTAATGAAATGTAAACTTGGGAAATTAACAAAACTTGTTTGTCAAATTTTCGCATTTTTAAATTATGTATTGAATAATATATGTAATCCTTAATTAGAATTCTTTTTAATCTTTGAATTTAAAATATATATATATACATTTTTATTTAAAGAAGACCAGTAAAGAATAATTATATGCTTTATATGTAAATATATATATATATATATATTTTAAAACGCCCAATGTTGTATACAAAAAATAAATAAACCCTAAGCTAAAATATATACACACAATCTTTTAACATCCAACGTAACATGAGTTGTATCGTCGAAGGCAAACACCACACCAACATCACAAATCAACAAATGGCAGTTCTTTTTTTTTTTTTGTGTGTGTTTCTCTAAAGTATGCAACATTTTTCATAGGAAAACCATATTGTTGTTATCATTAATCTCAAATCTCATGTCCTCCAAGTTGGAAGCCACCCCATGAACATGATGATCTCCAAAGCTGTTTTCTTCCATGCTCATGTCCCAAAAGAACTCGTAATCATCATTAACTTTGGAGCTAACTTCATTGCTGTAGGGATTGTTGTTATTGTCCTTTTCCTGAGAAATATTGTATTGAAGCAGGTTTAGCAAGCTTTGGCCATGGCTTTGGTGGGCAGGTGTGGTGGATAAAGAGCTGATTTGTTGATACCCACAAGGCATGCTTGTTTGGTCTGTTAAAGAAGGGTCACGAGTTGAAGTCTCGAACATCATCGAGGGGCTGAGTTTGGTGCTGTTCTCGCCCTTGCTCTTGTTAAAAACTCTACATAAAACCCAGTCTTCCTGTCACATGACAAAAGATACTACTCTTATGAGCCGAAAATAGAGTACGACCACTAACATTTAAAAAAACTATCATTTATATTTAAATCATCTACAGTTCATGTCATTGTGAGTGATCAAACTGATGCAGTCTCAAAACAAAAAAAAAAGAAAAGATTTATTTAATTACGTTTATATATAGTAAATGCATATAAAAAAGTAAAATAATTGAATTTGATTCTCTATTTAAACACACTATAGTTAAGTAGTATCTACATTTTATTAAAAATATATTATAACAAAAGGTAAACAATATATATTATATTCCAATCAAAAGGGAAGTACACAAGCAACAATACTTGTAACAACTAAGTATCATGCCACATGTATATATATACATATTCCAAATCCGCATGTAAAGAATAATTTTCATAAAAAAAATATTTTCACATGAATAATTAAAATGATAATGAATGTATATATATATATATACATATATGTATATATATATATATATATGCCTTGGTGATAAGCCTCAAACATCACTCTCTTATGCTATTCCTTGGACAACTTGATTATGAGAACACGTGGAACAGAGCAAGTGGACAACTTGCATAGGGCCACTAATTTTTGTTAAGTTTCCTTAGAGAAAACACGATATTTTATTCACATACATATGGCTGCAATAATCGACCTCTCTCTCTCTCTCTCTCTCTCTCTCTCTCTCTCTCATAGTCATTTTCTACATAAACAGGTATGGGATGAGTATAGTTGAAAAGAGCAGCGAGTGAAACTGACCTTAGGAGGCATATGTGGGGTCTCGAGGCGAAATTCATGCATGATCCAACCCGTTTTGATTCCATTGGGAGCTCTGTTCCTGTAAAACACCAATGTCTTTCTCATCCCTACAACCTCTTGTGTTCTTGGGTCGACTACCGTTCGATCCTTCCCTGTTGCTTTCCAGTACCCAGATGTCGTTGCCCGATTCGTTCGGAACCCCGTGGCGTACTTTCTGTCACGAAAGCTGAAGAAGTACCACTCGTTTGCGTTCAACTTTGCCATCTCTTTAATTTAATCAAGTCCCATGCGTACACAAAACACATAGTTTATTGATTATAATTAGTTTAATTTCATTCCTAGTTAGACAGTACAAATTATATAGAATTAATTATATAATCTATCTAAGAGACAGCAAAATGGGTGAGTTTACATCAAGCTTTGCTATGGAATTTTATTTTTCTTTCAAAATCAACAAAAAAAAATATCATCTTTTCACTAACTTTTTCGCCTTACTTGAATTACTGAGAGTGTTGGCAAGTCTTTGTCACCTTATGAGTTATGTCTAAGAAAGCTAAGGATTTGTCTGGCTAAGGGAAAAAATTCTATAAGAACTAACAATACTTTCTTTGTTTGCCTTGGACGATAGTATTAAAAACTTAAAAGTGATGTTTTGGAGAATTCTGAGGAAGCAAACGCTCCCTTAGTAATTGCTTATAACAGCTAATTGAGATAAAGTTGTCTTATACTTCGAATATCCTAAATATACAAACTTTAAGACAAAATAACTAATAGTTACGTACAGACTTCTTTTTACTAATCGATTTATAGTTAAGAAATCGTATCTTATAAGTTTTTAAAGAATCCTATCTTTTCATTTAACCTAAAAAAAAACTACCACGGGTCAATAAATTAAATGCGAAAAGGAAATTTAAAGAGACAAGTGGCTTCTATTGATAGGTCACATTTTAGTCCAAGATCACACTCAACATTTAGCGATTGTGTCTTATGTAAATTTCTCTATTAAAGCAATGACCAAGTAACTTAATTAACTGGCATGAGATTGCAACAGGACTTGCCAATTTAGTCCATCCACAACATTATTCCTAATGAACACGACTACATAAATTGGAAAGTGCACGAGCTAGCACAAAGACAGAGAGAAGTAGAGAAACTAAGAGGATATATCGGCAAAGGTATGGTATATTGCGTATGAATACCTTATATATCTACAGTTTCTGTTTTAAATCATATATAGAGGAGATATAGGCATCGTCACCCTTTTTGACAAAGGGAAAATATGCAAAACTTTGAAAAGATGAAATCTCCCACTTGTAGGTTTTAAAGGAAAATATATATCCATGATTTTATTAGGCTATAGTTAGTAAAATGTCTAACCCGAATCAAATCAAAGGGTGGAAATTTTTTTTTGCTTTTAGTTCTTGCAATGTGCCGAAACAAAAGCATAAACAAAAGAGAGAAAAAAACAAACAATCCTTACCTACATGACTCAAGAAGTGGGCATTCTGTATTTCTATTCAAGGGAATGAAGATGAATAAAATTACAGATACATACATACATATAAATATATATATATATATATGTTTATGTATATGACAATTGCATACATATATACTTAGCTACATGCATGTGTATATGTTTCTATACGTGTGTGAGTATATATATTCTAAGAAAATTCATGTGCTTCCTTTCGCATTCTCTCTCTCTTTCTCTTTCACTTTCTCTCATAGGAAAAAACGTGTTTACTTGTCTGCTGTTTCTAACAGCTAACATGACAGACGGCACCAAATGTTTGCCTGCGCCCTGTACCTGAGAGAAGAACTCAATAATTTTCCTCCTCTCTGTTTGTCTTTCAAACATGTTAAAACACACGCCTAACAGACCTTCCTAGTTTACTTAAACTGTTAATATCAAGCAAATGATTAATGTTTTCTTTAGCTTTAATGAAACATTAATTTTAGCGAAAAGCCGAAAGGCGGAAACATCCTGAATTCAGGGGAGGATAGAATCATAGAAAACGATGAAAGAATAAGATTCCAAAGCAACCCTAAAGGGGAAACCATGGAAGGAATTTAATTTGTATAATTGATAAAAAGGAGAGACGACCTACCAGGAAGCTGCCATGGCTCACATGAATGCAAATCAATTTCCACCAAAGTACCCTTCAAGACTTCTTCATTAGCAATCTTTTTGTAGAGATAATGGCAGACCAACTCCTCATCGCTTGGATAAAACCTAAACCCGGGAGGCAGTGTAGCTCCAATGTCCCTTAGTCCCATATTTATGTTGCCAAGAAGGAAAAAAGGGAGGTGGTGGGTGGGAAATAAATTAGAAAAAGAAACTTTATTTTTTTCTTTGAGATCTTTGGTATGGGAGGGGAAATTTTTAATGAGTGAATAAATTTAAGGTAGGAGATGGAATTTAAATGAAGGTATGGTATGATTTTCTTTGTTTAGGACTTGAAAATATCATATGGAAGAGGGAAGGTTTGCATTGTGTGTATATATAGCTAGTTTGGGATGACAATTAAAACTGCCTTTGCCAGTCAGAATTTCTTACAATATTGTAGCTAGCATGTGTAGGGATAGGGGCATGCTTGTGTAACTTGTTAGCTATAATTGGGAAATTTCAAGAAAAACCAAAGTTACAAGAAATCTACTTTTATTGTGGGTGTTTTGGAGGGTAGATCAACTGATCATGCCAATACATTCATATGGACAAGATCCAAAGAATTTTATTACAGAAACACTCCAAAACACCCCTTTTTATCTATGATATTTAAATGGATTATTTATGTAAAATAATAAATACAAGATAAAAAAAATATTCTAGGGGTACTGCATATATATTTATAAAAGCCAGGGTATATATTTAACAATATATATAATTCACTAACTTGAATGGAAATTAATCCCTTTAAAAGGAAATATTTCATCAAACCAATCATACACAAGGTACAGTAATTTCCATGGTCATTATCATTTACTTTTGTTTTGATAACGATTCTACTTTGTGTGGTTTATAAGTTTCATTAACCTTTTGCATTTTTTTCTGATTATTTTGTTTCACTGTGTCTTTATATATAAATAGTTGCTATTCATTGGACCACGTGTCACCAAATATAAAGCAAAAGAGTAAAAGAGAAGCTAAGTAGAATTTTGCAGACAAAATAAATTATTCTATTGAACAATTAGAAAAAGATTATTCAATATTCAGCAGCATTTTAATTAAATAGTATGATGCCAAAGTGCTTGATTTCATTGGTTAAAAAATAATTGCAAAACTTGCCAATTAAATCCAAGGGTGGGCATGTACTTATTTTTCATACTTTTGAAATAATAATTAATTGGTCGGACAATTCCGTAAAAGGGGGGCCATTTTTATCATCTTGATCAATAGAAAAGGGTTCAAAAAGCCTAATGTCCCCAACCACGTGAACCATGATTGGTCTCTCAGCAAGAACACAGACAGCTCAAGGGAAAAAAAAATAAAACAAAAAGAAAGGAATGAGAAAATAAATAATCAGAATTAATAGCTGGAATAATTTAAAAAATAAATAATGTTAGTAATTACTTAAGAGAGAGAGTCCCGTCTACTCAAATTTTGATCACATAATTTTGGATGGATGCAAATCAAATACCAGTGGGCCTCATGGCTTGTATTTGATCTGGGGTCCACTAATGATGAAGGACTTCAGACCCATCATATAAGAAACACACAAAAATAATAGTGAATTTATATTTTTATATTAAATAATATTATTCAATCAATAATTAAGGTAATTTTTTGTCAACAAAAATTTAATATTTATGAAAAATATTTTACAAGTAAAATTCTAAATAAGTGCATTCTTAAAGTCATTTTAAAAAGAGATTAAATTCGAATAAAATCTAATAATAAAATCGTTTTATAAAAATAATAATAATAATAATAATAATAATAATACAATTTGGTTGATTTGTCTTTTTTGAAGTTTGGGTAGTGTTAGAAAGGCAATAATACTAATAATTTAAATAACTATAGAAATGAGGACAAAACGATACTTATCACAACATGTGTCATCTGATGATAATAATTAGGGGATGGTATATAGTAGATGATGACTGGACTGGCGGTCTCCAACACTACACAATTAGATTGAAATAATGGAGTTCCAAATTTCATTATTACTATACTAATGATTGGGAAAAAAAAAAACTTTAGATTTAATAACAATATCTAAATATACAAATATATTTATACGTACATATTGATAGCAAAATATCGATATTTCCCTTGTGATTTTCTGAAAGGGGATATAACTTGCTTAGGCGGTCGAGGTGGCTACCTATCTAGATGAAGAGTCATTATCTGCATTAGATAATAATTATTGCATTATTATTAGAGAAAAATTAACTTATATAAAAGAATTTTATACATTTTTTAATTATTAATTTTAATAAATTTAAGGGAATTATTTTTCTTTTTTCATTTTTCTTTCTCATATTTTAGATTTATTGAGTTCAATAATTAAAAAAATATAAAACCTTTTGATTTCAAATTGATGTTAGTTAACCTCTCTTATTATTATTATTATTATTATTATACAGGTTAAATTTTGATTTTGATCTCTTTGATTGTTGTCGGAAAACAAGGATAATATTTAATGTGTATCTATTTGGCAGCACATATTTATGAGCTGATCATGAATTAGCATATGAAAGTGAGCTTCTTGTCATAATCATAATCTAATTAACTTTGGATTATCAATCAATGTTTCATCAAACAAAAAACCATAAATGACTAAATGAAAAAAACTTGGACAGAAATAATTGACTCAGAAATTTACAAGAAATAGAAAGATGCAAAGAAGAAGAGTCAAAAGTTGGTCATTCAGTTATATAAATGGTTGAGCTTATATACAACATACATACTATAATATAATTTTTTTATAAAAAAAAAAATTACTATATTTAGTATCAATATTTCTTTTTTTTTATAAATAAAAAATTAAGACCTAAATTCACGAGACGTGGAAGCCGCCGGAAGACATGTGATCCACATATTAAGGTACACGTCACAAGGAGGGGATGACGTACCGATTATTCTAAAATAAAATAATGGAGAGAACAAAATGATTGTCGTGAGTTAGTTCTAGGGTTAGGGATTTGTTTTCCAATTGGGGGGGGAGGGGGAGGGGAAGTTGATGTTGGGCGATGAGTGACGGCTTCATATTCCTCTTTGGAACCAATAATTTCCATTTTCCAATCTCTCTGGCCCTTCCCTTTCAAAAGTGTGTCTTTTTTACTTGATACACTTCCATAAGTTATGGGCTTCTCATTCATCTCATCCCCAATGTCCCGTCATTAATTACTAAGTTACATATTTTTTCCATCTGGATTGCGCCAACTCAGCCGCCTCCGAAAGCATGTCTCGGAACCCCCACGTGGCTTTCTCTAATGTCCTTTCGCTACTTGTTCTTAGTTAGCGATTGGTCTTATCAAATCATCAATAATCAACGTGCTCCATATTTATGCCTATAAACTAGTATGATTTCATCGCTAATAACATGATTTGTTAGTAAAATATATGTTAAATTTTTAATTTTAATAATTATGATTTAAATTTTGATAATTTTAAATAGTAAAGAATATTATAATTTTAATGATTATCTTAAGATTTGCATACTCAATTGTGGAGGAAAAATTTTTTTTTTCTTTCAACTTGTTTAATTATGTTAATTATTTTATTATTCCTTAATTAAAGGACGGTCTTATACGAACAAAAATAGGGAATAGTTTTCTTCTTTCCTTCGTCTTCCTATATGAGTTAATTATGGAAGAAGAATCAAAGAACCATGCTCTGCCCTTTTAATTTTTATCTTCATATTTTATAATATATGATTTTTTTTATTTCAAGATGCAGTAGCAATATTCCTCCCATTTTTATACAATCCTTTCTTTATTATATTTTCTGGTGGCTGCATGATATTTTAAGCTTTATTTACTATTATTTCCCAGCAATTTCCTAAAGAGTTATAACATTAATTAACTGTATAAATATGAAAAGGATCTTAGAAAAACAAACCCAGACAGCAGCCAGGCAGGCAGGGGGGTAAGTCTTAAAACTTTATCTAAAAATAAGTAGTATTTTTATAAAGAAAAGTTGGCCGAGTCATGGTGAAATGGCAGAGGATATATTGATATGAACTTTACCCTGATTCTCAAGAAACGAAATAACTTTTGGAAATTATATAATTTCTTCTCTGATCCATATTTGTCAAATATTCGGGAATAAATTAACTTTATTTGCATCTTCCATGCATAACTTTTTTTCAAAGAAAAGTAATCTTTATTCACTTTATGCAGCACTTTTGAAATTTGTGGTAAGTTGATGAAATCGTTGTTGAACGGTGGCTAATGCTACTTTTAATATGATCGAACTTTATCTAGAAACAGACTTTCCTTCTGCTTTTGTGAACAGATAAAACATGTTCAAGCCTACCTTTCTGCAAATCTATAAGCAAAAAAAAAAAAAACCTTTACTTGATTTTCTTTATCGTTTGTTTTGCTAACCCATGGCTGGGTTTGAAACAACATTTCTTGTTCGTACTATAATTAAATATTTTTACTGTTCATAAGGTTGGTTTTCTTTTAATCATCAAGCCTTTACTGGGAAGGGTTTATTATATTGTCTACTCATACCTCAATGAAAATTTACATTACATTTATAAATCGTTCATTAAGAGAAATTGTTGATTACATAAAACAAATTTAAATCTTATAAATAAAATATCCAATCATTATCAATTGAATCAATATCGGTGACTTGTCTTTAAATACAGTAAGGAAGCAATATCCCATATTTATTCATTGTTTGAAAAATAATAGGTGTTGGCTCATGAGATTGTTATCCTTAGAGTTCAATGTTATTATGATCTGAAATTTGACTACTTAATTCATATCTTTTCAGTAATATATATATATATATATATATACCAAAAAAAAAAAAGATATATTTATAGAAGCAAACATTCAAAACAAGAATGATTCAAGGAAATATATATCTCATCATTCAATGTATTAGAAATTCTGTGAATGTGAAGATTTTTTATTACATTGAATGAAGATTGATTAATCTCTTAAATGATAATCCTACTATACCTTAAGGATATTGGTTAGCCAGACTTCAAACAAAGATAAACTAAACTTCAAAGGACTTAAAACAAGTTTAATTATCATGCATGCACTTTTTTTATGATTAATTAACAGTCATAAATTAGCCGCCTCATTAAACATCTCGCCATTGGCCTTTTTGAGTTGAAAAAAATTCTCATCACTACGTCGGCAGACCTAAAATGATTTTTGCAAATTAAGAATGGCATTGATCAACTTGTACAAGAAAAAAAAACATCGTGCTTAAAGTCAAGTCTAAAATTCTTAGGCATAAGATTAGAATCGTTTCTAAGATTAAAAGTTTTAAATTCGAATTTTAATCATAATTCAAAAAACAAGGAAAAAAATAAGCACTTCTTTTATCAACAAAGCTAC